AAGTCATAAAAACAGTAAATCAGGTAAACAGTTAAGGTTTCATCCTAAAGAAGAAAATGCAACAGTAAGGGTTCAAACTGAATGAAATAATCAAAGACAGATGCCGATGAAGGGGTCATCTGTATTGCTGTTAAAGAGATTTTTAACCTACCTATTTTATAGAGATAGGTTGAATAGATATGTCCCTATAGATATTCACTGAAACCTGACCTAGAACTGTCTTTAAAATTGGGACTGATATTGGTGTGGGATAAATGCATTGTTTTCAAATAAAGAAGGCAAGTACAAGTACATGCCACACCTTTGAGATTTTCCTCAGTAATGTTTTCTAATTTTCTAAATGTGAAATGATTAAAGGTCATAAATGTCTATTGTAGGAACTCTGTTCAATCCCAAAAAAAATCCCTTCTATTAGAAATAAAAACCTACATCAAACATTTCTGCTCAAATATGCGAGCCAAGACATTAAGATGCTGCAGGAACGCTGAGATTAAATGACGAGGCATGTACGAACCATTACCACTCATCACAGCAGCTCCTTAACCTGCGCATGCACGTCCAGCCGCTTTCATCATTTGCTTCAAGGCCAAGACAGCAAAACAAGTGAGAATAATTCAGCGTTATGCCAAAAGATTAAGATAGATCTGTGCCTCTTAACTCTATGGTTTTCCAAATATTTTCACAGCTGTCACCTTGCTGAATGTTTTATTAGCTTAGCAATTATATTTCTTGGAATTATTGTTCTTTTAACTCAAGTAATGAATCATTTGCAACTGACAATATTTTTTATGTGAGTCAGTCTATGATTTTAGGATCATGTTCTAACTAAAAAAAAAAAAAAAGCTTGTCCCACTTTCATTTGCTCCCTCTGAGCTTTAGGTGAAATTCCAGCTCCATACTTTAACATAACTCTGTCTCATGGGAACATTATTCCAGTAGATGGCTTTGAGTGTGGTACTTTTCTTTTTTTTGTAGAAGGAGCTGCTGTCTCTTTAATTTACTCCTGATTTTGGAAAAGTGCAGCTTTGCTGAGGAGGCTTGTCTCACAGCTTAATGCCTTAATGTTCAGTGACATTGCCCAAAAATTGGAGCATGTGTCGCCGTTTGCCCTTCAACCTCTTCGTACAAAACAGTTTGTTCTGTGTCTCTTTTAAAGTTGATGCTTTTGGCTTAGATGGAAAAAATGTGGTTAAGTTTACCAAATTTTCCCCTTCTATAATTTATTCCTGCTACGCATGGCTTCTTGAGAATTAGGAATACTTTTTGGTTAGAACGTTAAAACTGTCTTCGTCTCAAAAGCTTGGATAGAAAGTATTTATATTTAAGTATATATATTTATACTTAGCTTCTTATTTTTAACTTATTTATTTAGTATGATTCCTGCAATCAGTTTAATGTAAGGTTGAACTTCTGATCTGTTTTCACTTGATATATCAGACAGATCATTTAACAATTTTAGACTTTTATTAAAATAAGAATGATCAAAATTATCCCAAAAAATACTTAGTTGCTTTAAACAAAATACAGGTATATAATGACAATAAAACATAATCAAAGATGACCTTTTTAAGCTTAAAATTAGAGAAAGATACGTCATGCAAAAAAATAAATAAATAAATCAGTGAATATGTCTGCTTCCAAAAAAATATCCCAAATGACATATTTGAACCCATCAAAGCCGGACCTTTTTTTTAAAAACAGCCCAGTTAGGGAGGTCCAACAGAACTGAATTACTCTACTGATTGAAATCCTTTAAAACTCAGTTTGAGGAAAAGAAAAAAAAGAGATATATACAATTAGAATCTTGTCTTGTTTTGTTATGGTGCAGAATGTATTGTGACATCCTCCTTCAAAACTTGATTCCAATTGATTATGTGAAACCCAAGCCTGGCTTTGAACTTATTGTGCAGATTTAATAACATGAACTGTACGTTGTAGTTTTTGTATTCCAACTCATCATTGTTCTGTATAATACCAATAAAACTTTATTTAAAAGGCATCTTTGCTTGAATATTTCCCAGCATCTAAAAACAAAATAAATATTTTGCCCTGTACACGGCTAGATCAATAAACTGAGGGGAATCATTTTTGCTTCTCATGTAACACTCATAATTCCCTCTTCATATTTTCTTTGATTTGCACTTTTCAAATGATCTCAGTCTATTAAAATAAGCTTTTTTTCCCCACCTGATGATTTGAGGGGAAAAGCATCCAAGGTCAAAGCTCCACTGGTCACACATCCGCAGAAATGCACACGTGCACACAAGCCGCCGCAAAAGCATGGGTAAAAGATATCAGCATCCAAGATGGCTTATGATGGGGAACTAATTCAATATCCCTTTTCCTGCTTTAAATGTCATTCGCTGAGCTCATCTGGAGTGACATGTTTTTCATGCTGGAAATAAAGGAGCTTTATTAGACTCCAAACAGAGAAACACAAGAGGGAAGATTCAACAGGAGAGCGGCTTCTTCTACTGATGTTGATGAAAAATCCAAAGGTCTTCAGAAGAAATTAATAAAGTCTGAAGTCTTATAAGTTTGTCTCTGCCTTATGATCCCCTCGAGTCAATAATAAAAGCAGCCTCTTAAAGTGCACAAATAAATCTCAGCTTTGCTAGGAGCTACACTGTCAGTCATAAAGTAAAATACCTTTCATATGTCACTTCAAGTTTGTATGAGGAATCAAGTTTTTGAAAGAAATATTGAGCGATCTTGGTTTGATATTTTTTTTGTGTTTTTGGCTCCAAATTCCTCATGCAAAAAAAAATATTTTTTATTATTATTATATATATTTTTTTTCAACTCTTTTTAAGCACTTGGTTTGTTTGTTTCTTCTTCTTTTGTTCTGCATGATGCAAATGACCGGTGAGGGTTTGACTGGAGGGGGTTACAGCCTCCACAGTTGCTTCATTGTGCCAGATAATGACCACCCCATTGAGAGTCACCCCCATGACCTCAGAGACAGACAGCAAGACGGCCTCATCCAGCCCCTCAAGGCAACCCAAATTGTGGCATTTTACCCACACAGGGCTGCAGAACTCATAGCTGTGCCCAACAGCCTTCAGCCCTCTGCAGTCCAGCATTAGTTTAGCATCCTGCAGGTTTTCTAAACACCTAAGTAATTGTGATCTGGATGCATATCCAGGAAATGGGGAAGTCCAGCTGTACAGCTAAAGTTCAGTTTACTAGATTATCATTAAAAAGTTTATTTTGGTAGTTAAATTTAGACTCATGATGCTTCATTCATGCTGTTTTCTGTCTTGTTAATAAAACCATGTTGCAGTGGCTGAAATGCTCCAATAGAATACATACATACATACATACGATAAGTGATGCTGAATTCACTGTACTCTCTGGCCTCACATTCGTTACTTTTACAGTGATGACACTGTCTTCATTTATTTTATTTCATTATGTTAAGTTAAAGGATAAACGGGCCATCTGGGAAGCCCAATTTAATCCTCTTTGAAACAAAAAGGTTTCACCAAAAAAACGTTGTGATGAGATTATTATGTATAGTGATGTATTTTATGTAGATTTACATGTAGTTAGGATCAAACCAAATATTTATGAGCCAGAATTTGGATTCAAAATAGGCTGCTTGTATTGCCAATTAAAAATGTCATTATGATAATCTTATTTAATTTACATTTGACTATATTTTGTGTTATAGCATGCATATATTAAATGTTTATGTTTTGCTTTGCTTTATTGATTTTTAACACGCTTCTCCAAGATCAGAGGAAGATTTCTGTTTGCATTGTAGCATAAAGCTACTGACCTGCAATTCCCTAACCTTACTGTAAATCTCCTAGAAGATTGAGTCATTTTCATCTGTGTATGAGATGCATGTGACTTGGTGGTTAAGAAGTGACTTAACATTTGGAGGAAGAGAATCAATTCTGTGCGTAGAGCTGATGACACCTGTGAATCCTCCCCAAGCTCTGGAATGGACTTTCCTTCATAGCCCCCTTCAGTAGGGCTGCAGCAATCGATTATTTTACTATCCTAACCTAGTGTTGTTTTTTAATAAATTTATGAAGATACACTTTTAATAAAGTAATTTTCTTCAATAAACATTATTCTTTTTTATGTCCTAAAAAATTATTGGCTAAAAAAAAAAAAAAAAGACCTAAAGTCTAAAGTGGTCAAAAATGCCACTTTAGGAGTTCTGGATTGTGTGTAATTAATGCAAAATGTTTGTATTTTTGTATAGTTTTGGCCACCTGCTCTGAGTTTGTCACTTTTCCAGGAAATGGCATCTTTTAAAGCCCATATCCTCAAGTTAACAATGAATCGATTACTAAATTGATTGATTCATTGAATGATTGATTAGTCTCCATTAATCAATAGTTTCAGCCGGTACTCCTAAGTAACACCTGTTACTTCGGCTCATTTTTCTACACAATTACTTTTTTGCAACACAGCGCTCCAGCCTGTCAGCCTCTTTAGCAATGGTCGATCAAACACAGTGACGCCATGCTCATTAAACCAACTATTGCATTGGCAGTTGCCAGGGTGTGCTAGGAAATGCAATCAGCATCTCCATAACGCTTCTCTTTACAGGGAAGCTTAAAGTGCTCTCTATATTCTGGGGAGGAGGCTCTCCTGACTTAAGAATTAAGAAAAAAGAAAGTGGACCTATACTAGAACATGATATGGCTTGACGAATCTCTGCTGACAGTTATTTGTGGAAGATATCCTTTTCAGACTTTTTTTTTCCTTCCACTCAGCTGTTTTTTAAAATGTATTTAACTTGTTTAGGAATGACCAGTTTTGACATATCCTGCTTTTGGAGGCCATAAGTGACTGACTGACGGACAAGTCTCAAATCGGCCATTCCCTATTTTTGGGGTCTCTGGTGGTGGGGGGGACATTCCTGCTTAATGGTTATCTGGTCTTGTCCTTTAGTTGCTTATGCTGAGATCTCTTTATGATTTGTCAACCAAATGTTACTTCACTTATAAATTCTTGACATATTTCCCTGTGATATTTTGCAGGGTTTTTGAAGCCCCAGTGCTCATTGGCCCCCCCCATGCAGCGAGGTCGTTCATCAGAGGCGTGCTCCTGTTTTAGCGGCGTTTGTCCGCTTCACCAGCGTCGACTATCATCAGGTAAGCACTGCCAACAAACCTGTGACTACCTGCTTTTTCTTATGGTTAATAAAATAATTTTTTTGCTTATACTAGAAAAGAAAATGTTGGTCACAAGGGTTTAGTTATTTTAATCTGCACACAATGTCCCATACAAGATTGTTTAATCATCAAAAATGCAATTACTTCTTGTTTTTCTACTGTCATAAGATATTTTCCGGTGACCAGTGCTACATTTTATTAAGAATAATTTGCTTTGGATTAAGAATGTTTGTAACACAGTTCAGATGTCTTACTCCTGACTAGTGTTTTAATGTGGAGGAAACTTGCCTATTGCTGCAGAAACACTCATACACTCAGGGCTCGTCCTGTTCTTAAAATGATTGATGTCTCTGCATGCTGATGACTGATAGACAGGGTAACATAGGTGCTGTCACCTTGGCCTGCCTGGGCTGAGCCTTTCCTGGTAGGAAGCTAATGAATAGGGGTCCAAGCTATGTGCAACATGTTGTTAAAGCTGAAATATTCCTTCCCTGAGGCTTGCTCTGTCTGCAGCATCCATGCCATGAGACTGGCTGTGCTGCCCATCATGTGAGAAAAGCATGACTTCTGTTGCTGGATAAAGCAGCTTCAACTTGTAAAAAGCATGATTAGAGCATTAGTTTTGTTTGTTTTTTTTATCCATGAACTTCGATCTCCCCAGAATATAGAGCCTTAAAATGTGTCATTTTCCTTTAACTTCTTTTTTTTTTTTTACCTCAAATATCTTTTTCTGGTATTTTGTGTGATAAATCAACACAAAATAACATCATTGGGAGACATGGTTTTCAAGATATTCAACGTATGATGAAGCCTGAAAATTGCAACATACAGTTTTAATTAGTGTCCTCTAATTCATTATCATTACATGGAAGTAAATTGTAGTGAAATGAAAAGCCTGAATGAATAGCCTTTAGAAAAGCTGTAACCAGCAAATAGTCTAACTGTGTGTAATTAAATTGAAATGGTTTGTTAACAAAAAGCTTCGTACATTAGACAGGTCTGGTGTTAGGTTGCATTGAAGAATAAAGTAAGGATGGGATGAAAAACATAATGTGGGCTTTCATAGAGTCCTATTAAAGCCATCATCTGCAAAGGAAAGTATTATCAATTCAATTCAGACAACTTTATTTATTCCCCAAAAAAGGGCAATTCAGTTTGCTGCTCTGGTCAACCAAGACGAAATGACACAGTACCAAACAATCTCTTTCAACCAAACTCAATAAACACTGTTAGTGCAATTGAGATATAACAAAAATAACTAAAAAATAAAATAAAACAATAGCAACATCTTTGGCCACTGGCTAACAGAGTTTAAAAGACAAATGGATGAGGGAATAAAGACGTATGACTACTGCTTGGCTTTTTGTGGGGAACAACACAGTCTGGGCATTTGCATAAACTGAGCTCTGAGAACATAGTAAGGCTGGCTCAGGATGGACTTAGTTTCTTGAAGGACTGGTTTCTTCCAAACAGAGCTCAGGTCTGACATCTGGAATCTTGTTAAGTTATATCACTACTTTAAAATTACAAATCCATGGCTCTGGATACAAACCCCACATACAGGGCAAGGGGAGTTTTATTACCTTAAGCAGCCAAAAAGCCCATCGTTACTCTAGAGAAGCTGCAGAAGGCCAATAGAAAGCGAGATAATCTGTTAGGATGACAACTCTTTAAGTTAAAATCCACAAATCTGGTTTTTATGATTGGGAAGAAGAGAGCTGAAAGAAGGCCATTAGAATTCCCATGTAGGGGATGCTACAAATATGCAAAATGAAGTGATCTCGTCAGATTTTTTTAACTTATTTAACCACATATATTCTCTACATGGTAGAAAAGCCAAACTGGAATCTTAAAACCAATGGAAGAATCATTTTGTGGGAATACTGTCTTAACATAGGGAGACAGATCATTGGAAGGATAGATTGAGCTAAATACATGCAAACTTAAAGAAATCTTGTTAGAGGTTGCAAAATGTTAAAGATTTGGCCAGAGGTCCACTTTCCAACAGGACAATAAAGCTTAACATAGAGCCAGATGTGCAGAGGAATGGTTTAGATCAGAGCATTTTCACATGTTCAATTGTCAAAGTTAAATTCCAGACCTGCTTCAGACCGGATACAGAACTTAACGGTAGGTTTCATTAGGTATTCATAGAGCATCTCCACGTTAGATTTATCCCAGTTTCTGCAAAATGTTTAACTAGTTTATAGATTGGAAACACCTTTTTGCAAAAATTGGTTGCCTTCTAAGTATACTCAAAACAAGGTGTTTCAAACTTTATAAATAATAGTTTCATAAGATCCTTTTAAAATTTTAATTAGCCTATATCAAAACTGTCTGCAAATCTTTTCCAAGTAAAAACCTGACAATTGAACTTATTTAAAAGCAGAAAATGCACATTTATTTATATAATTATTCTGGTCAAATTCAGATGGCATTTCTTTGGATTTCTCAATTTGTTATTACCATGGTAATTTTTATGTTTTAAATTAATGCTTATTTGCTGGGGGAAAAAATAACTAATGTATTTTGCTGCTTTTCAGTCATCTAAAATTAAATATATTCCTTTATACTTCAAAATATTTTTTTAGGGTTAGGGTTAGCAGTCAAGTTTTGCCAAACACATGCTCTTAATTTAGCAGGTCATGTTTTGTAGTTTGCTGCTCTGGAACATACAGGTGTCTTTTAACACAATGCCAAAACAGAGATACATCAATAAAAAACTTAAGGAAGCTAGTGCTGCTTCCTAAAAGGAAATTTCTCAACAATAAGTCAGCCACAGGGCAGGACACAATACTCTCACTGGTTTAAACATGAACTCCTATATTCCAAGGTATTCGCAAGTGAAATCTGAGATACTTTGTCCTAAAGCTTGATTAATAATCCCAAACTTGCCTTTTTAAAACTGCAAATCAGCAAAAGAATAATCAGATGATGCAGTTACCTAGTTAAAGTCTAGATTATGTGTTGGAGAAAAAATATATGTCCAAAATTCATCCAAACTAGATGGATCACGAACTTAAACATGGAAATCAAAAGTAAATTCACTCAGTGAATGAACACACTGAGGTGAAATAATGTTGCCTTGAAACAGTTACTCACACAAACCCAATGAACTGAATCTACATTGTACAGAATAGGGCAAACCTCCCAGCACAGCTCCTGAAGGGGATAGATCCTAATACTCTACAAGCTCCTGTATCACCAGGTATTCCGAGTTCTCCCTATGACTGCACTCACTAGTCTAAAAACTTTCCTTTTCCCATGACTGCATACCTTTTGAAAGTTTATACTCCTTACTTGTAGAAAGTTTTTGTGGGAGGATTTCACTGAAGACCATCTTTACTATTCATGACAAGATACAGTAACAGCTAAAAAAATATGCCTTCAGCTGCACCCAGTTCCCATCTGCCACAGCGATCCCTCAAGACAGTTATTTATTTAGCTAATTTGACTTTCTTTTTTTAGTTTCAGGAGGGAAAACATTACAATATGTTTACTTTAGTGCAAAATATAGTTTTTTAAAAGGTAAAATGAAACCCCTCTACTTAAAGAAATATATTTTTATGGACAAGTTTCAGCATGAGGAGACGCACAGTTATTCCACCAACCTCACCCCCGTCTTTGTGTATTTTACACAGTTATCATGATTGATTGCAACATATTTCACTGTCACAACTTGTGGTGAGGGTGAATGTGTTTCCAGAGCAATCCAGACCATCTGGATTAGAAGCATAAAGTCCCCCTGAAGTATGTTAAAGGTTGTGGGATATTTTAAGAGATTGAGCAGTTTGGGGTTTTGTGTCAGATTTAGTTATTTTGTGAAAATCAAGTCAGGAGAGGAGGAGTTTAGAGTTAATAAAGTTTTTTTTTTTTTTTCCTCCTAGCCTTGTGGCTTTTGTTGTACAAGTAATTCAGTGGTATGTTCGGTAGCCAAGCGAAGGCGAAAAGCAAAGGAAATGTTTGGTTAGAGTGGACAGTTGCTCTAAACTTTATAGAGTCTGTAATAATCTTGAGTCTAATTATGGAAAGTGTTGCTATAAATTCACCAGTGTCCCCAGATTGTGTGATTGACCTCCAACTACTGCCTGCACCCACGATTACAAGCGGCTGTGGGATCTGTGAGAGGAGTGGCGGTGACCAGGCAGGAGGTTTTCTGGGAACGAATCGAGGCTCACCCGTAGGGGGGGAGGTTTTCATCCCCTATGTGCTGGACTCCAGGCAGCGTACTGATGTGGCTGGGCTCCGGTTTCAGCGGTTTTTACATTGTTCTGGTTTTTTGTTTTCTCTTACTGGAAAGAATCGTGAGAAATGTTGCCTTCTTAGTTTTTTTCCTCATGATTCTGAAAAAAAGGGGCAACCTTTTACCATGTTTTGGTAAAAGGTTTTGTTGTTTTTTGGGGGGGGTTTTCTAGAGAAAAATTAGCTCTGATGGGAAATGCTGTTTTTACTTCTTTTGAATTGTGGTACATGAGGTGAGGCAGAGGGAATAACGTAAAAAGAGAGAGACGGCATTGAAAACAGGGCCTTCACAATGCGGGCCTTGTGCTGCGATTTGGTCTGTCCTCGCCGAGCTGAGCGGAGGAATGGAAAAGATTATCCGCAGGAATGTCTGGGGTGCCCTCAAACGGAGCAGGCCGCGTGACTGGCCAATAGGAGCGAGGCTTGCAGAGCGGCGGGCTAATTTTTTCCTGATGAACTCAGCTGCCTGCTCCACAATACAGCCTGATTGCCAGGGCTGAGCTCACATATGGTCCGCGTTTGGAGGGTCCAAATGACAGGACCAATCATGCCTAGAGAGAGGAGGGGGTTGGAGGCTTGGATGTTTATTAGTAAGCCCCCCATCAGACATCAACTGGCTGTTCTACACTAATCTGACACCATTAAACAAAAGATTCACTGTTTGCTCTCTTTTCCCTTTCATACCTAAAGCTAATAAGCATTAGCATAGCTCTGGTTTAATACTACCACTGACTAAA